TCATGGACCGGATATAACGGTGACATGTGCGCGCGCGTGTGAATTGCGCGCATGATTGGCATGGGATTTTTGTATGTATATATACATATATGTATATATAATATATGCACGCATAGATCTAACAACAACAACAACAACAATCATTTAAGACTGGGGACACTCCGTTCTCACCAGTGCCAGGGTTTTCATAGGAGGCGGGCAATACCCCCACTTTGTGGGGGGGCCGGTTCAAGCTCTACCAAATTTCCATACGACTCTTCGCCACCACCCACACCCAGCTTCCCGCCCTATGACGTTCGGACACTTCACTTCGTGGCATGCGGACGACCGTGGCTACTATTCAGGGCCCCGCGGCCGACGACGACGGCGTGCGCGCGCGAAGAAAAAACGAATGTGTCCAATATGGTATTATTTGACAGGGATGATGGCCCTGGCATGCGCGCAACCGTTGTTGCAGAAGTTCGAAGCACGTGAAAAAGTTGCTCGCAAGAGCCCGTTTGACAGAAATGTTGAAAAAATATTGGGTTTCCTCAGAAATCCGCAAGAGCGCGCAAGATGATTTTTTGAAACTTTTTTTTTGAAAAACCATTGGGTTTTTTCATGTTTTTATGTTAAAATCGCTACGAAAACTAAGGTTTTGGAAGGATTTCATCTTGCGCGCGCGAGTGTGCACTTCGTGTCATTTTTTGCAAAGGATTCTTGAAGTTTGGTTATGTTAGAACAAGACATGTCATTTTATAGTGTTTTTTGACAGGGAAAGCGGGCGTCAACAAAACAACCGGATCTGGATGACATCGTTTTACCTGAGACTTCCTCACGAAAATTATGAAAATGTGGCTGCGGCCTAGGCGCGGGGGGGGGGGGCGTGCACCAGGGGGCCCAACAATAATTATTCTTTAGAATTAATAATGTTCAACAACAACGATACACATAATAATAATAATAATAATAAGAAGAATAATAATAATAATAATAAAGACTGTGATAAACGAGCACGCGCGCATAATTACATTTGACAGCGACGAAGGGGGGTGTCGATACTGGCTTGTCTGTCTTGCTAACACGGAAAATTGGCGATAAGGCAGAATCGGATGTAGATTTATTGCCCCAGACTGTGGAGCATGCGTTTCATTTGGCAAGGGGATAATGTGGGGTACCGCTTGTGCTGCTGCCTTGGTGGTGCATTGTACGTGGGTGCGGGTATGGAGTGTGAAATGCGTGGTGTAAGCTATTACGTGTAAGCTCTGGAAGGAGATGCGTGGTGTGACAGCAGCGATCCAGGCGGATGAAGCCGCGCGGGCGTGAGGTACTGTGGCCCAGGCTGTGTGGTGGAAGATCTGCGGCGCAAGCTGCGTGGCGCAGCATGCGGCGCAGTCCACGTTTTGCCTCCGACTTTCTACGCGCCCGCCCCCACCGCCCACGGGCCCGCGGCGCTGGGCCCCCGCTGGAGCCGAGGAGGCGGCTCGGCCTTCCGCCAAGGAGACTCGAGCAGGGCGTCCGCCGCCCACGAGGCGCCAGCCTGGCGGGCAGTGGGCGGGCTCCAACTGGGCACCAGGTGAAAGCCCGCCACGCCCCCACCCAACGCACGGGGCGCCCACGAGGAGCCCGCGGGTCAACGAGGTGACGGCAACGATGACTTATGTATGCCTTGCCTGGCCCGGTGGAAAGTTACTCGAGTACCGGAGAGCTACCAATCGAAGGGGGTGCTGCTAGAGATGGCTACAGATCTCTGCTAGAGAGGCACTATGGCAACAATTCGGCTTGAATCCCATAGACCTACACGCCTGATGAAGCCCTGCGAAGTTACAGCTCTAATACAATCCGAGTAAGGCTACATCTCAGATGGGCGCCCATTACGCTACAACTCTGGCACATCATATAATTCACGCGAGAAATCCTAGATATACATATACATTACTAGAACCATCGCGCGCGCTTCGCGCGCGCTGTGGTTCTACCCTAGGCCAAGGACCAATCGAGTCAAACTTCGTCGACACGCGTACGAAAAAAAAAGGTCGACGGAAGACTCGAACAAACATAACAGAGCTCGTCCTTCGCGCTTGCGCTGCTTAGCGTCCTTGGCGTTCGCGCTGCTCTCTGATCGACTACGGTCCGCTCAAAAAGACTCCCTGGGGCCGAAAACCGAAAGACCTGGTCGAACCTCGAACCTCGATAGATCGGTCCTCGAGTGGCGCTTGCGACGACGAGCACGACGGCGGAGGCGACGGCGACGACGACGGCGGCGACGATGATGACGACGACGGCGGCGGCGCTGACGACGGCAATGGCGACGACGACGACGGCGGCGCCGCCGCCGTCGCCGCCGAGGTCGTCGCCGTCCCTGCGCGGGGGGCGGGCCGCGGGGGGGGTCTTGGAGTCTCTTAGGGGCCTCTTGGGGGGATCTTCCCCTCCATAAGCCCCCGCTGGGTTTGGTCTATTGGGGGGATCTCTTGGGGGCCTCTTGGAGCCCCTTAGGGGCCTCCTGAAACCTTCTTGGGGCGGAAGGGTCGGATTTTCGGGTCGGGCTCCCCCTCTTGGGCTCCTCTTGGAGCCGTCTTGGAGCTCTCCTGGGTCGTATTGGGGACCTCTTGGGGTGTCTTGGCCCCCTCTCGGGACGTCTTTGGAGCCTCTTGGGCCGTTTTGGGACTCTCTTGGGGGCCTCGTGTACCGTCGTCACCGCCGTGAAGACCGACAAGTGAATATACGTTTCCCCATGCAAAATCACTGATTTTGGCCTCTTGGGACCCTCTTGGAAAGCCTATTGGGGGCCTCTTGGGGCGTCTTCGCGGTCTCTTGGGCACTGTGAGAATCGTCTTGGGCGTCCAAGGGCTAGCTTTGAGCGCTCCGGGGCCGCCGTGGAACGTTTTGGGTGCCTCATGGGGCTCTCTGGTCACGCCCTGGCCGCCCCTCGGGCTGTCTTGGGCCGTGCTGGTAGCCTCTTGGGGCCGTCTCTGGGGCCTGTGTACCGTCGTGCACGCCGCGAAGACCGAAAAGACGTAGATGCTGAAAATGCACGTTTTCCACTGCAAAATCAATGTTTTTGGGTGTTTGGGGCTCCCTTGGAAAGCCTACCGGGGCGTCGTAGCGGCCTCTTGGGCTCTATGGGAGCCACCCTGGGTGTCCAGGGGTGATCTTTGAGAGCCCTGGGGCCGTCTTGGACAGATTCTGGAGCCTCTTGGGTCCCCGTGGACACGTCCTGGCCGCCTCTTGAGCACGCCTTGGCCGCCTCTGGGGCTGTCTTGGGCTCTTCTTGGGCCGTGTTGGGAGCCTCTTGGGCCGTTTTGGGGCCGTCGTGGGGGCCTCTGGTACCCTCGTGCACGCCGTGAAGACCGAAAAGATGTAGATGCTGAAAATGCACGCTGCCCCATGCAAAATCAATGATTTTGGCCGCTTGGGGCTCTCTTGGAAAGCAACTTGGGGCGTTGTTGCGGCTTCTTGGGCTCAATGGGAGCCATCTTGAGCGTCCAGGGGCGATCTTTGAGCGCCCCGGGGCCGTCTAGGACCGGTTTGGGGGCCACTTGCGCCTCCCTGGGCACGTCTTGGCCGCATCTTGGCCCGGACAGGAGCGCTCCCGGAGCCCCGAGTCGGCCATGGGGGACGCAGGTGCCGGCCTGGCGGCCCCGATCCCCTTCCGCCGGCATATATATATATATATATATATATATACATATCTATATATACATATATACATATACATATACATATACATACATACATACATACATACATACAGACAGACAGACAGACAGACAGACAGACAGACATACGTACGTACGTACGTACATTCATACATACATACATACATGCATGCACGCATACATACATTACATGCATTACATACATTACAAACATTACATACAATACATACATCACATTATATTACATTACACTACATTAATACATACATACACACATACATCATACATACATACATACATACATACATACATACATACATGCATGCATGCATGCATACATGCATACATGCATACATGCATACATGCATACATGCATACATACATACATACATGCATGCATGCATGCATGCATGCAGGCATGCACACAAACATACATATATACATGCATGCATGCATACATATATATATATACATATACATGTACATGTACATATACATTTACCTATACATATAGCTATACATATACATATGCATATACATACACATATGCATATACACATACATATACCTATGCATAAACATACACATATACACATACATATGCGCATATATGTATATATGTGTATTCGCACAGCGGCTAATGCTCCGTGTTCTGGGGTGCATGCCTCCTCTTATCCACTCGTCATTCGACCAAACCTTCTCTATAATTCTCCATCACACGGGCTCGTTCCGATCCCAAATGCCGCGTCGCCGTCAGAGCAGAACTGGAGGAAGGTGCCGTGCCAGGAGAGCTGCAACAGTGGAAGCGACAGCGTGAAATGAGGGCCCAAACAACCGACAACAAAAGGCTGGCCAAAGCCTGTCACTGTGCACTCACTGCGAGGAGCCAGGCATGTGGTTCCGTGAATGGCCGAGTGGCGCGCTACTTACACACCTCCGTCTGGTTCCCAGGAACAAGACTCGGAGCGGCGGCAGCAGCAGCGGCAGCGTCGATAGGAGCAGGACAGGAACCCACTTAGAAACCGACACCGCGCAACACAGCTCAACGCCGCTCAGTGCGGCCTTGCGCGATCCTGATGTGTGCTGCGCGGTGCGTTGCGGTGCTGTGCGGTGTTGCGCGGCTGTGCTGCTCTGGCCAGCCGTGAGGTACAAGCTCCAGCAAGCCCCTGTGGATCGGCCTCGCAAGCAGAGGAGCGGCAGCGGCAGCGGCAGCGGCGGCGGGAGCCCTTCAGCGAGAGCCGGAGCGGGAGCAGCGGGACTGCAGCACTGCAGGACGGCAGGAACAGCCGCCGCAGCGGAGACGGCAGGCACCACAAACACAATGGCGCGAGAAGCCAGGGCGCATCGTCTGCGCTCCGCTGCCTGCTGCCCCTCCGCGGCCACGGCAGCCGCGCCCTCGGCCGCCTCTGCGGCCCAGGCCGCCCGGCACGTCTCCGCTGCCGCGGGGGCCGCAGCTGCCACGGGTGCCTCGGAGGCGCGAGGGGCCCTCCCCCTCCGTCTCGCTCCGCCTCCGCCTCCCCTGCGCCTCCACCCCGGCCCTCGCTGCCGATGCCGTGTGCCCCTCCCCTGCCTCCCCGTCTCTATATATCCCCGATCGCTCCCCCTCTCCGCTCCCCCGGGTCCGCTCCGCCCCTCACTCTCCCAACTCTCTACACCATCCCTCCCACTCTCACTCCACTATCCACGCCCTCTCCCACTCCCCCCTTCCTGTACAGCCGAAAACTGGCCAGAGAGAGAGCCCGAGAACTGGGAGCGGCACCCCTTGTTCTGTCCGAGACGCGCCTGGAATTGCGAGGAGCTCCCGAGGAATATCGAGCCCACTCCGAAACGCGTGGACCTGATTCAATAGTTTTGCTGAGGAGAAGGGAGGAGGAGGAGGAGGAGGAGGAGGAGGAGGAGGAGGAGGAGGGAGAGGAGGAGGAGGAGGAGGAGGAGCAAGGAGGAGAGGGAGGCGGAGGGAGAGAGGAAGAGGAGGGAGGAGGAGAAGGAGGAGGAGGCGACGGAGGAGGAGGATGGTTGAGGCGGAGGAGCAGGAGGAGGAGGAGGAGGAGGAGGAGGAGGAGGAGGCGGAAGAGGAGCAGGAGGAGTGAGGAGGCAGAGGCCTTCTATGGCTCCTCCACCCTTTCCCCTCCATCCACGCCGAGGGGGGCTGGAGGAGCCGTGCGGACGGTGGCTGTACCTTGCCGTCGCTCGGACGTCCATTGCCCGTGCATTTGTCGGTTTCGTGCGTGTTTTTTTGCTCGATGGTCCAGGATGGTCCTCGATGGTTCTCGCAGAGAAAAAATGCACACGTCCGAGCGATGCTAAGGTACCAGGCTGGTAAGGGGCAGGAGCCAAGGACGGTCATGGAGCCCAGGAGCCCAGCCCACCTCTGGCCATCGCTCGGACGTCCATTCCCTGTGCGTTTTTCGGTTTCGTCTCCTCGATGGCCCTCGCCGAAGAAAAAAGGCACACGTCCGAGCCCAGCCCACCTGGAACTCCGCAGCGCCCAGCAGCGCCTTGCAGAAACGCTCGCGGCGTACCTGCCAGGAAGCTTGTGGGGCACACCGTGAACCGCCCCTGCATGAGCGCAGGGACCACCGTAACATTTCCTAGGAACCCACTGGGATTTTCCAGGGATTGCCACGGACCTACTTGAACACTTCGGACCCATTTCCAGACCTCCTCCAAGCTATCAAGTCATCGCGTCGAAATGAAAGTTCAAGCTTAACACTGTGAACGTACTCGACGATAACATGTGTGTTGCGCTCGGAGTGCAAATCGAGGCGCAGCCATTATTGTGCAGCATGTTGGCCGACTAGAACAATGCGGTCAATCTGACCAGTGCATCCCTCCTCCTGGTCCGTCTCCTTGTCTTCCTCCCTCCTCCTCCTCGTCCTCGGCATATGCAGGCATGCTTCCATTGTTTATATGTGTTTTCATGCGGTTCCAAAGGACAATGCAACAAGTATTCCGTAGCACAACCAATCTGGATCAGATCACGCATACTGTGCTCTGGCTATTGATGGTTGCGCGGTGGAAAACTCGGCCTCCTCCTCCTCCTTCTCGTCATCCCCTCATAGGAAATAGCAATGAGAGGGAGGAAGGGAGCGAGAGAGAGAGAGAGAGAACAAAAAAAAAGAAAAACATGAAAATGAACAACACACACACACACACACGCATCACAAAACAACTCAGCTCCGTCTGCTCTTCCTCGACTTCACCTCCTCCACCTCCATTTCTGTTCCTTATGAATAACACCTCCCTGTTGCAACCCGAGGCCAGTCGGCATGGCGGGCCAGGCACGCCATTCGCCTGCGACTTACTCACCATTCATGATCCTGGGCGGGTCGCTTCCAAAATGTGGCTCTCGCCCTAGCGCCGCGCGCAATCGATGTTAAAGAATAGTGATCGCTTTCAAAATGTGGCGATCGCCCTAGCGCGGCGCACATTCGTCTTAAACACGTGCAAGAGTTTCGCGGGTTGAGGACAATACCTTCTCAAAATGAGGCTCTCGCCTTGGCGGCGCGCACATTCGTCTTAAACATTTGCATGAGTTTCAGCGATTCCCATGGTTCACATACCACGCATGGTGATTTCGAACGACTCAGGAGGGCCAGGGTGCAACATTTATGTTGAATCGCGGTGTTGAAGTCCCAAGACTGGCGTTCTGGAGCGATTCAGGACTGTGAAGACGCAGCAGTCAGGTATATTCGTGGCGTTGGAGTCCCGGGAATGATGTGTTGGCAAGTGTCAGTATCTTCAAACGGTTGTCTTCCAGCGGGGCACTTCCCTCAGTGGGAATGAAGCTTTACAGGGGCCTATGAGGAGGGAGATTGGAAGGAGCGTTCGTTCCAATATCGGAGAGAGCGTGATCCACCGC